TACTGGTGTTGAGGTACTGGGGGTGTACTGTTGTTGTGGTACAGGAGGGTACTGGTGTTGTGGTACTGGGGGTGTACTGGTGTTGTGGTACTGGGGGTGTACTGGTGTTGTGGTACTGGGGGTGTACTGTTGTTGTGGTACAGGAGGGTACTGGTGTTGTGGTACTGGGGGTGTACTGTTGTTGTGGTACTGGGAGTGTACTGTTGTTGTGGTACTGGAGGTGTACTGGTGTTGTGGTACTGATGTTGTGGTACTGGGGGTGTGGTACTGGTGTTGTGGTACTGGGGGTGTACTGGTGTTGTGGTACTGGAGGTGTACTGGTGTTGTGGTACTGGTGTTGTGGTACTGGAGGTGTACTGGTGTTGTGGTACTGGGGGTGTACTGGTGTTGTGGTACTGGGGGTGTACTGGTGTTGTGGTACTGGGGTGTTGTGGTACTGGGGGTGTACTGTGTTGTGGTACTGGGGGTGTACTGGTGTTGTGGTACTGGAGGTGTACTGGTGTTGAGGTACTGGGGGTGTACTGTTGTTGTGGTACAGGAGGGTACTGGTGTTGTGGTACTGGGGGTGTACTGGTGTTGTGGTACTGGGGGTGTACTGGTGTTGTGGTACTGGGGGTGTACTGGTGTTGTGGTACTGGGGGTGTACTGGTGTTGTGGTACTGGAGGTGTACTGGTGTTGTGGTACTGGAGGTGTACTGTTGTTGTGGTACTGGAGGTGTACTGGTGTTGTGGTACTGGAGGTGTACTGGTGTTGTGGTACTGGAGGTGTACTGGTGTTGTGGTACTGGGGGTGTACTGGTGTTGTGGTACTGGAGGTGTACTGGTGTTGTGGTACTGGGGGTGTACTGGTGTTGTGGTACTGGGGGTGTACTGGTGTTGTGGTACTAGGGGTGTACTGGTGTTGTGGTACTGGGTGTGTACTGGTATTGTGGTACTGGAGGTGTACTGGGGGTGTACTGGTGTTGTGGTACTGGAGGTGTACTGGGGGTGTACTGGTGTTGTGGTACTGGGGGTGTACTGGTGTTGTGGTACTGGAGGTGTACTGATGGTCTACTGGTGTTGTGGTACTGGGGGTGTACTGGTGTTGTGGTACTGGTGTTGTGGTATTGGGGGTGTACTAGTGTTGTGGTACTGGTGTTGTGGTACTGGTGTTGTGGTACTGGAGGTGTACTGGGGGTGTACTGGTGTTGTGGTACTGGAGGTGTACTGGGGGTGAACTGGTGTTGTGGTACTGGGGGTGTACTGGTGTTGTGGTACTGGGGGTGTACTGGTGTTGTGGTACTGGGGGTGTACTGGTGTTGTGGTACTGGGGGTGTACTGGTGTTGTGGTACTGGGGGTGTACTGGTGTTGTGGTACTGGGAGTGTACTGGTGTTGTGGTACTGGGGGTGTACTGGTGTTGTGGTACTGGGGGTGTACTGGTGTTGTGGTACTGGGGGTGTACTGTTGTTGTGGTACTGGAGGTGTACTGGTGTTGTGGTACTGGGGGTGTACTGGTGTTGTGGTACTGGGGGTGTACTGGTGTTGTGGTACTGGGGGTGTACTGGTGTTGTGGTACTGGGAGTGTACTGGTGTTGTGGTACTGGAGGTGTACTGTTGTTGTGGTACTGGAGGTGTACTGGTGTTGTGGTACTGGAGGTGTACTGGTGTTGTGGTTCTGGTGGTGTACTGGTGTTGTGGTACTGGGGGTGTTCTGGTGTTGTGGTACTGGGGGTGTACTGGTGTTGTGGTACTAGAGGTGTACTGGTGTTGTGGTACTGGAGGTGTACTGGTGTTGTGGTACTGGTGGTGTACTGGTGTTGTGGTACTGGGGGTGTACTGGTGTTGTGGTACTGGAGGTGTACTGGTGTTGTGGTACTGGGGGTGTACTGGTGTTGTGGTACTGGTGGTGTACTGGTGTTGTGGTTCTGGTGGTGTACTGGTGTTGTGGTACTGGGGGTGTACTGGTGTTGTGGTACTGGAGGTGTACTGGTGTTGTGGTACTGGGGGTGTACTGGTGTTGTGGTACTGGAGGTTTACTGGTGTTGTGGTACTGGGGGTGTACTGGTGTTGTGGTACTGGAGGTGTACTGGTGTTGTGGTGCTGGAGGTGTACTGGTGTTGTGGTACAGGAGGGTACTGGTGTTGTGGTACTGGGGGTGTACTGGTGTTGTGGTACAGGAGGGTACTGGTGTTGTGGTACTGGAGGTGTACTGGTGTTTTGGTACTGGGGGTGTACTGTTGTTGTGGTACTGGTGTTGTGGTACTGGAGGTGTACTGGTGTTGTGGTACTGGAGGTGTACTGGGGTATGAGGGTCACGTGCCGGCCACTATTGATTTTCATAATAGTCTGGCCAATTACGCAATTGAAGGAGAATTACGTCGTTGGTGAAGTCCAGGAGACAGTTCCGGCGTAGGTTCCTGCGTGGTGCCGTACCTCAGTGTTGTGCTGCCGTGTCTGGCGCGCGCCAGGGGAAGGCAGGGCGCTAAGACAATGTGGCAACACTGTATACGTCAGGGAAGCTGGGAAGACGGACGTAAAAGCTTCCGTTGACCACTCTATGGACAATGAAACCCACATTTCAGATTGAATGGAAGTCGCAATAGGAACCAATCCTACATAAAGTAGACAATTATGTTCGACTCCCTCCCCAACCATCCTATGACACTCACCATACAATCACTAATCACCGTGCAAAGTTTGTTGTGACTAGCCCCAAGCATCTGAACCATCATTTTGAACAGACAAACATTCTCTCTTTAAAGACAGGTTTAATAAATGAATAAATGCCACATAGAATGTAATGAAGCATTCAACTGCTTGATTGTATGTTCCTCGTGTTCCTTATTGTGACGGAACATTACTGTGTCACGTTACTGTGTCACAGTTGTCACGTTACTGTGTCACAGGTGTCACGTTACTGTGTCACAGGTGTCACGTTACTGTGTCACAGGTGTCACGTTACTGTGTCACAGTTGTCACGTTACTGTGTCACAGGTGTCACGTTTTTGTGTCACAGTTGTCACGTTACTGTGTCACAGGTGTCACGTTACTGTGTCACAGGTGTCACGTTTTTGTGTCAGTTGTCACGTTACTGTGTCACAGGTGTCACGTTACTGTACTCTCTTTTTGTGCTTGCGGGGGTTGAGCTCTGGCTCTTTGGTCCCGCCTCTCAACCGTCAATCAACAGGTGTACAGGTTCCTGAGCCTACTGGGCTCTATCATATCTACACTTGAAACTGTGTATGGAGTCAGCCTCCACCACATCACTGCCTAATGCATTCCATTTGTCAACCACTCTGACACTAAAAAAGTTCTTTCTAATATCTCTGTGGCTCATTTGGGCACTCAGTTTCCACCTGTGTCCCCTAGTGCGTGTGCCCCTTGTGTTAAATAGACTGTCTTTATCAACCCTGTCGATTCCCTTCAGAATCTTGAATGTGGTGATCATGTCCCCCCCTAATTCTTCCGTCTCCCAGTGACGTGAGGTTTAATTCCCGTAGTCTCTCCTCATAGCTCATACCTCTCAGCTCGGGTACTAGTCTGGTGGCAAACTTTTGAACCTATTCCAGTTTAGTCTTATGCTTGACTAAATATGGACTCCATGCTGGAGTCGCATTCTCCAGGATTGGTCTGACATATGTGGTATATAACGTTCTGAAAGATTCCTTACACAAGTTTCTAAAGGCCGTTCTTATGTTAGCCAACCTGGCATATGCCGCTGATGTTATCCTCTTGATATGTGCTTCAGGGGACAGGTCTGGCGTGATATCAACCCCCAGGTCTTTCTCTTTCTTTGACTCTTGAAGTATTTCATCTCCTAAATGATACCTTGTATCTGGCCTCCTGCTCCCTACACCTATCTTCATTACATTACATTTGCTTGGGTTAAACTCTAAGAACAATTTGTTCGACCATTCCTGCAGCTTGTCCAGGTCTTCTTGAAGCCTCAAGCTATCCTCCTCTGTCTTAATCCTTCACATAATTTTGGCGTCGTCAGCAAAGTTGTGTGAGACATGGAGTGCTGTCATGTACCTGAGAGGTGGCCCGCACCATCCTGGTGTTGGTATCCATGACACCTGGCACCTCACCGTACACACCCTGAGAGGTGGCCCGCACCATCCTGGTGTTGGTATCCATGACACCTGACACCTCACCGTACACACCCTGAGAGGTGGCCCGCACCATCCTGGTGTTGGAATCCATGACACCTGACACCTCACCGTACACACCCTGAGAGGTGGCCCGCACCATCCTGGTGTTGGTATCCATGACACCTGGCACCTCACCGTACACACCGGTGAAGCTCTCACCGGTGTGTACCTGAGGTGAAGCTCTCACCGGTGTGTACCTGAGGTGAAGCTCTCACCGGTGTGTACCTGAGGTGAAGCTCTCACCGGTGTGTACCTGAGGTGTAACAAGCAGTGAACCATCACCCAGCCCCTCACACAACTGGCCCTTCGCTAGTCTGCCTATTTCCTAGGCTGGGATACTAATTAATAGACAAGTATATATGGTTACCAGCTCAGCTGCTTTACCTGTGCTGGCAAGCTGTAACTTGAGAGTCCTGTCCAATGTGTGCGTGTGACGTATTAGTCAAAATGTCACCTATTTGTCCAAATGACAAATAGGTGACCATTTTTTTTGTTGCCAAAAATGACCCACAGTGTGCCATTAACTGCTACTTCTGTCTCCCCTAACCAGTCCTGGTTCATATATGTACAATTAATCAGGATTAAATTTCCTTTCCCGACAGGCTGGACCACCATAGGCAGTTACAAAAAAAAATCTGGATTTTTCTAAAGTCTCAATTGAGACTTTTCTGGTCTCAATTGGAAATTGAGCCCAATTTTACCCAATTTCTCTGTTCAATTATCAACTATTGCAATGAATATGTCATTTACCACGTGTTCCACACAGCCCTAGATCACACATACAACTGGTTAACATCTACCAGGTGTATGTCAAGCCCCGCCCCTCCGCACACGACCAGCCAACCACTGACCACCATTCCCCCTACAGCCCCGCCCACCTGGCGTGTCAACACCCGATCCTGGATGTGAAGAACCCGGAGATCTACCGATTCTTCCAGCACATAGACCCCGTCCGGTGCGGCGGGGAGCCGGAGTGGGTGGCGGTGCGGGGCGCCGTGGCCGCCATCACCAAGACGGCGCGCGACGCCCACGGAGACGTCGAGTGTTCCTTCACAGGTGAGACCCTACACGCCTTGGGGGCGGGGCACATCTACTCCAGTCCTGACGCTTGTTGACTTGTGAGACCAGGTGGTGGTGAGACCAGGTGGTTGTGAGACCAGGTGGTTGTGAGACCAGGTGGTTGTGAGACCAGGTGGTTGTGAGACCAGGTGGTTGTGAGACCAGGTGGTTGTGAGACCAGGTGGTTGTGAGACCAGGTGGTTGTGAGACCAGGTGGTTGTGAGAGCACGTTGTGAGACCAGGTGGTTGTGAGAGCACGTTGTGAGACCAGGTGGTTGTGAGAGCACGTTGTGAGACCAGGTGGTTGTGAGAGCAGGTCGTGAGATAAAAGTATATAATGGTTATATAAACACATTAATGTGGACCAAGACAGTTTAGGGGGAATAATGCTATAATAGCCACCATTGTGCCCCTAATGACTGCCAGCATAGTTGTCAACCCTCAATTTTCTGAACTCTGGCATAAACCTCCCAAATTATCAATCCATTAAAGTTGTTAAGGAGTAGTAGTCGGGCACCTCTGCATCCAGATGTTTCTCACCCTCTTTGCTCTCACTGAGAAATAGTGACGTTGCAATTTACTCCTTTATCTAACTCCTGCTCTCACGATCAGAACATTCAAAGTCTCCCTTTAGAGCCCCGGGGGAAGTCCACCAGGGCTCTATCTTCATTTTATTCCATGTATTGACTTCCTATTTTCTGTATGATAACTTTATATGCCCTAAACCGGTATAATAGGTCCCCATCGTCATAAGGATGACCTTTTGATAAGGATGACCTTTTGATAAGGGCGACCTTTAGATAAGGGTGACCTTTAGATAAGGGCGACCTTTTGATAAGGGCGACCTTTCGATAAGGGCGACCTTTAGATTAGGGCGACCTTTAGATAAGGGCGACCTTTTGATAAGGGCGACCTTTAGATAAGGGCGACCTTTAGATTAGGGCGACCTTTTGATAAGGGCGTCCTTTTGATAAGGGCGACCTTTCGATAAGGGCGACCTTTCGATAAGGGCGTCCTTTTGATAAGGGCGACCTTTCGATAAGGGCGACCTTTAGATTAGGGCGACCTTTAGATAAGGGCGACCTTTAGATCAGGGCGACCTTTAGATAAGGGCGACCTTTTGATAAGGGCGACCTTTTGATAAGGGCGACCTTTTGATAAGGCCGTCCTTTTGATAAGGGCGTCCTTTTGATAAGGGCGTCCTTTTGATAAGGGCGTCCCTTTGATAAGGGCGTCCCTTTGATAAGGGCGTCCTTTTGATAAGGGCGTCCTTTTGATAAGGGCGACCTTTCGATAAGGGCGACCTTTTGATAAGGGCGTCCTTTTGATAAGGGCGACCTTTCGATAAGGGCGTCCTTTTGATAAGGGCGACCTTTCGATAAGGGCGACCTTTTGATAAGGGTGACCTTTCGATAAGGGCGACCTTTTGATAAGGTTGACCTTTTGATAAGGGTGACCTTTTGATAAGGGTGACCTTTTGATAAGGGAGACCTTTTGATAAGGGAGACCTTTAGATAAGGGCGACCTTTTGATAAGGGAGACCTTTAGATAAGGGCGACCTTTTGATAAAGGCGACCTTTTGATAAGGGCGACCTTTTGATAAGGGAGACCTTTAGATAAGGGCGTCCTTTTGATAAGGGCGACCTTTCGATAAGGGCGACCTTTAGATAAGGACGACCTTTAGATAAGGGTGACCTTTTGATAAGGGCGACCTTTAGATAAGGGTGACCTATGGGTAACGGTGAGGTTGTGTGTGGTAGAGGTGGTCCGTGACGGGGACGACGCCAACAAGCGGGGCCTGACCACCACCACCCACGACACCTTCACCCTCACCAACACCGACTTCTACAGCGTCTCCTGCACCGCCAAGGACGGCAACACGTGAGCCCCTAAGGTTATCCTGCCCTCTCCCATGCTCTTTGTTCCACACCTGCCCTCTCCCATGCTCTTTGTTCCACACCTGCCCTCTCCCATGCTGCTTGTTCCATACCTGCCCTCTCCCATGCTGCTTGTTCCATACCTGCCCTCTCCCATGCTCTTTGTTCCATACCTGCCCTCTCCCATGCTCTTTGTTCCATACCTGCCCTCTCCCATGCTCTTTGTTCCATACCTGCCCTCTCCCATGCTGCTTGTTCCATACCTGCCCTCTCCCATGCTCTTTGTTCCATACCTGCCCTCTCCCATGCTCTTTGTTCCATACCTGCCCTCTCCCATGCTCTTTGTTCCATACCTGCCCTCTCCCATGCTGCTTGTTCCATACCTGCCCTCTCCCATGCTCTTTGTTCCATACCTGCCCTCTCCCATGCTGCTTGTTCCATACCTGCCCTCTCCCATGCTCTTTGTTCCATACCTGCCCTCTCCCATGCTCTTTGTTCCATACCTGCCCTCTCCCATGCTGCTTGTTCCATACCTGCCCTCTCCCATGCTGATTGTTCCACACCTGCCCTCTCCCATGCTGTTTGTTCCATACCTGGCCTGGAACACGGTGTTTGTTCCATACCTGGCCTGGAACATGCTGTTTGTTCCATACCTGGCCTGGAACATGCTGTTTGTTCCATACCTGGCCTGGAACACGGTGTTTGTTCCACACCTGGCCTGGAACATGCTGTTTGTTCCATACCTGGCCTGGAACATGCTGTTTGTTCCATACCTGGCCTGGAACACGGTGTTTGTTCCACACCTGGCCTGGAACATGCTGTTTGTTCCATACCTGGCCTGGAACATGGTGTTTGTTCCATACCTGGCCTGGAACACGGTGTTTGTTCCACACCTGGCCTGGAACATGCTGTTTGTTCCATACCTGGCCTGGAACATGCTGTTTGTTCCATACCTGACCAGGAACATGGTATTTGTTCCATACCTGGCCTGGAACATGCTGTTTGTTCCATACCTGGCCTGGAACATGGTGTTTGTTCCATACCTGGCCTGGAACACGGTGTTTGTTCCATACCTGGCCTGGAACACGGTGTTTGTTCCATACCTGGCCTGGAACATGGTGTTTGTTCCATACCTGGCCTGGAACACGGTGTTTGTTCCATACCTGGCCTGGAACATGCTGTTTGTTCCATACCTGGCCTGGAACATGCTGTTTGTTCCATACCTGGCCTGGAACACGGTGTTTGTTCCACACCTGGCCTGGAACATGCTGTTTGTTCCATACCTGGCCTGGAACATGGTGTTTGTTCCATACCTGGCCTGGAACACGGTGTTTGTTCCACACCTGGCCTGGAACATGCTGTTTGTTCCATACCTGGCCTGGAACATGCTGTTTGTTCCATACCTGACCTGGAACATGGTGTTTGTTCCATACCTGGCCTGGAACATGCTGTTTGTTCCATACCTGGCCTGGAACATGGTGTTTGTTCCATACCTGGCCTGGAACATGCTGTTTGTTCCATACCTGGCCTGGAACATGGTGTTTGTTCCATACCTGGCCTGGAACATGCTGTTTGTTCCATACCTGGCCTGGAACATGCTGTTTGTTCCATACCTGGCCTGGAACATGCTGTTTGTTCCATACCTGGCCTGGAACATGCTGTTTGTTCCATACCTGGCCTGGAACATGGTGTTTGTTCCATACCTGGCCTGGAATATGGTGTTTGTTCCATACCTGGCCTGGAACATGCTGTTTGTTCCATACCTGGCCTGGAACATGCTGTTTGTTCCACACCTGGCCTGGAACATGGTGTTTGTTCCATACCTGGCCTGGAACACGGTGTTTGTTCCATACCTGGCCTGGAACACGGTGTTTGTTCCATACTGCCGGCCACCTGCAGGGGACCCCACTATCATGTTCTTAGTTAGCTAAGGTTAGTTTGTTCATTGTGAACAAGGGGCAGGTTAACTTGTTCAGTGTGAACAACGGACAGGTTAACTTGTTCAGTGTGAACAACGGACAGGTTAACTTGTTCAGTGTGAACAACGGACACGTTAACTTGTTGATTGTGAACAACGGACAGGTTAACTTGTTCAGTGTGAACAACGGACACGTTAACTTGTTCATTGTGAACAAGGGACACGTTAACTTGTTGATTGTGAACAACGGACAGGTTAACTTGTTCATTGTGAACAAGAGACAGCTGAACTTATTCAGTGTGAGCAAGGGACAGGTTAACTTGTTCATTGTGAACAACGGACAGGTTAACTTGTTCATCGTGAACAACGGACAGGTTAACTTGTTCATCGTGAAGAAGGGACAGGTTATTTTGTTCATTGTGAACAAGGGACAGGTTAACTTGTTCAGTGTGAACAACGGACAGGTTAACTTGTTCATTGTGAACAAGGGACAGGTTAACTTGTTCAGTGTGAACAACGGACAGGTTAACTTGTTCATTGTGAACAAGGGACAGGTTAACTTGTTCATTGTGAACAACGGACAGATTAACTTGTTCAGTGTGAACTTTGAACAGTGACGTGAACATGATAATGATGCGGTTAATGATACATTTCCGTCTTCACTTCACTGTGCCGCGCCGTGCTGGGCTCCTGGGCGCGCCCTCCCAGCTGGGACACCATCATCGCTGGGATCCGCTACGACGAGGACATCCGCGCCCAGGCCTCCGTGTGTGTGTGGGTGTGTGTGTGTGTGTGTGTGTGTGTGTGTGTGTGTGTGTGTGTGTGTGTGTGTGTGTGTGTGTGTGTGTGTGTGTGTGTGTGTGTGTGTGTGTGTGTGTGTGTGTGTGTGTGTGTGTGTGTGTGTGTACTCACCTATATGTACTCACCTATATGTGCTTGCAGGATCGAGCATTGACTCTTGGATCCCGCCTTTCTAGCTATCGGTTGTTTACAGCAATGACTCCTGTCCCATTTCCCTATCATACCTAGTTTTAAAAGTATGAATAGTATTTGCTTCCACAACCTGTTCCCCAAGTGCATTCCATTTTTCTACTACTCTCACGCTAAAAGAAAACTTCCTAACATCTCTGTGACTCATCTGAGTTTCCAGTTTCCACCCATGTCCCCTCGTTCTGTTATTATTACGTGTGAACATTTCATCTATTTCCACTTTGTCAATTCCCCTGAGTATTTTATATGTCCCTATCATATCTCCTCTCTCCCTTCTTTTCTCTAGTGTCGTAAGGTTCAGTTCCTTCAGCCGCTCTTCATATCCCATCCCTCGTAGCTCTGGGACAAGCCTCGTCGCAAACCTCTGAACCTTCTCCAGTTTCTTTATGTGTTTCTTCAGGTGGGGGCTCCATGATGGCGCGGCATACTCTAAGACGGGTCTCACGTAGGCAGTGTAAAGCGCCCTAAAAGCTTCCTCATTTAGGTTTCTGAATGAAGTTCTAATTTTCGCCAGTGTAGAGTACGCTGCTGTCGTTATCCTATTTATATGTGCCTCAGGAGTTAGATTAGGTGTCACATCCACTCCCAGGTCTCTTTCTCGAATCGTTACAGGTAGGCTGTTCCCCTTCATTGTGTACTGTCCCTTTGGTCTCCTGTCACCTGATCCCATTTCCATAACTTTACATTTACTGGTGTTAAACTCCAGTAGCCATTTCCCTGACCATCTCTGCAGCCTGTTTAAATCCTCTTGGAGGATCCTACAATCCTCGTCTGTCACAACTCTTCTCATTAATTTTGCGTCATCTGCAAACATTGACATGTATGATTCCACTCCTGTAAACATATCATTTACGTAAATTAGAAAGAGGATTGGTCCCAGCACCGATCCTTGAGGTACTCCACTTGTTACTGTTCGCCAGTCCGACTTTTCGCCCCTTACCATTACCCTCTGGCTCCTTCCTGTTAGGTAGTTCTTCACCCATACTAGGGCCTTTCCGCTTACTCCTGCCTGCCTCTCAAGTTTGTATAGCAGTCTCATGTGCGGTACCGTATCAAAGGCCTTTTGGCAGTCAAGAAATATGCAGTCTGCCCAGCCTTCTCTGTCCTGCCTTATCCTTGTTACTTTATCATAGAATTCTAAAAGGTTTGTTAGGCATGATTTCCCTGTCCAGAACCCATGTTGGTGCTTGTTTACAAACCCAATGCTCTCCAGGTGCTCAACAAGTCTTAGCCTAATTATTCTTTCAAGTATTTTGCAGGGGATGCTTGTCAGTGATACGGGTCTGTAGTTAAGTGCCTCCTCCCTATCACCCTTTTTGAAAATCGGTACGACATTTGCCTCCTTCCAGCAACTGGGCAATTCTCCCGACATAAGTGACTCATTGAAGATCATTGCCAGAGGCACGCTGAGAGCCTGCGCTGCCTCTTTGAGTATCCACGGTGATACTTTGTCTGGTCCAACAGCTTTATTTGCATCCAGTGTTGTCAACTGTTTCATTACATCCTCTGCTGTCACCTCTATATCCGATAGTCTTTCATCTTGGGTAATCTCTTCTAACAATGGGAGCTGCTCAGGCTCGGTTGTGAACACTCCATGGAATTTTGCATTCAGTACCTCGCAGATTTCCTTGTCGCTTTCTGTATATGCCCCTTCTGTTTTCCTCAGTCTTGTCACTTGGTCATTTACCGACATCTTCCTTCTTATATGGCTATGTATTAATTTTGGTTGCTTTTTCGCTTTGACTGCAATATCGTTCTCATAATTTCTTTCCGACACTCGTCTTATGTTAATGTAATCATTCCTAGCTCTGTTACATCTAATCCTGTTGTCCTCTGTCCTTTGTCTTCTGTACTTCCTCCACTCCCTCCTGCTTCTCACCTTTGCTTCCTGACACTGTCTATTAAACCATGGGTTATTATATTCCCTCCTGCTTTTTTCCTTTATTGTTGGAATAAATCTATCTTCAGCCTCCTTGCATTTCAATATGACTTGGTTCATCATACCTTGCACTGTTTTTAATCTAAGTTCTTCCTCCCACTGCACTTCTCCCAGGTAGTCCCTTATCCTTCTGTAGTCCCCTTTTCTGTAATCAAGTCTCCTTTCCCGGACCTCTTGTCCTTTGGTCACAATTTTAAGCTCCATCATGTAGTCAAAGACTAGGACACAATGGTCACTAGCTCCTAGTGGTATTTCATGTTCCAACTGCTCGATGTCTTCTACATTCTGAGTGATAATGAGATCTAATAGGCTGGGCGTATCCCCTCCTCTTTCCCTAGTATCTTCTTTCACATGCTGTGTTAGGAAATTCCTGTCAATAACGTCTACCAGCTTCGCTCCTGTGTGTGTGTGTGTGGGTGTGTGTGTGTGTGTGTGTGTGTGTGTGTGTGTGTGTGTGTGTGTGTGTGTGTGGCGTGTGTGTGTGTGTGTGTGTCCATGTGTGTCACGTGGATGGTGTGTTATCCATGTGTGTGTGTGTGTGTGTGTGTGTGTGTGTGTGTGTGTGTGTGTGTGTGTGTGTGTGTGTGTGTGGGTGTGTATGTGTGTGTGTGTGGCTTGTGTGTGTGGGTGTGTGTGTGGTAGTGTGTGTGTGTGTGTGTGTGAGACGGAGGTGGTGTGTGTGGTGGTTGTGTTGTGTGTGCTGTGTGGGTGTGTGGGTGAGTGTAATGTGTGTGGGTGTGTGTGTGTGTGTGTGTGTGTGTGTGTGTGTGTGTGTGTGTGTGTGTGTGTGTGGGTGTGTGGGTGTGTGTGTGTGTGTGTGGTTGTGTGTGTCCTGGGTGTGTTAGTGTGTGTGTGTGTGTGGGGGGGGGAACGAATGTGTGTGTTTGTGTGTGTTTAGGTGTGTGTGTGTGTGTGTCTGTGTGTGTGTGTGTGTGTGTGTGTGTGGGTGGGTGTGGTGTGTGTGTGTGTGTGTGTGTGTGTGTGTGTGTGTGTGTGTGTGTGTGTGTGTGTGTGTGTGTGTGTGTGTGTGTGGGTGTGTGTGTGTGTGGGTGTGTGTACTCACCTAGTTGTACTCACCTAGTTGTGTTTGCGGGGGTTGAGCTCTGGCTCTTTGGTCCCGCCTCTCAACCGTCAATCAACAGGTGTACAGATTCCTGAGCCTATCGGGCTCTGTCATATCTACACTTGAAACTGTGTATGGAGTCAGCCTCCACCACATCACCCCCTAATGCATTCCATTTGTCAACCACTCTGACACTAAAAAAGTTCTTTCTAATATCTCTGTGGCTCATTTGGGCACTCAGTTTCCACCTGTGTCCCCTTGTGCGTGTTCCCCTTGTGTTAAATAGACTGTCTTTATCTACCCTATCAATCCCCTTCAGAATCTTGAATGTGGTGATCATGTCCCCCCTAACTCTTCTGTCTTCCAGCGAAGTGAGGTTTAATTCCCGTAGTCTCTCCTCGTAGCTCATACCTCTCAGCTCGGGTACTAGTCTGGTGGCAAACCTTTGAACCTTTTCCAGTTTAGTCTTATCCTTGACTAGATATGGACTCCATGCTGGGGCTGCATACTCCAGGATTGGCCTGACATATGTGGTATACAAAGTTCTGAATGATTCTTTACACAAGTTTCTGAATGCCGTTCGTATGTTGGCCAGCCTGGCATATGCCGCTGATGTTATCCGCTTGATATGTGCTGCAGGAGACAGGTCTGGCGTGATATCAACCCCCAAGTCTTTTTCCTTCTCTGACTCCTGAAGAATTTCCTCTCCCAGATGATACCTTGTATCTGGCCTCCTGCTCCCTACACCTATCTTCATTACATTACATTTGGTTGGGTTAAACTCTAACAACCATTTGTTCGACCATTCCTTCAGCTTGTCTAGGTCTTCTTGAAGCCTCAAACAGTCCTCTTCTGTTTTAATCCTTCTCATAATTTTAGCATCGTCCGCAAACATTGAGAGAAATGAATCGATACCCTCCGGGAGATCATTTAC